AGTTGCGGCTTTATGATTATAATGATGACAGTGATGCTCATGTATTCTATATATATGTATATATTATGTATATATATCTATTTATAAATATCTACATGTTTTGTGAGTTGTGGTCTGATATTCCTTGACTTTTTTGCTATGTGGAATTTGTTGAAAAAAACATATATATATATTTGCATGAACTGTGATCTCTTTATGTTTTTGAGGATGTCACTGTCAAAAGGACTGAGTATATAATTATTTAGAAATGTTATTTTGATGGATTTTATAGCTGATGTCCAAAATTCACTTTGCCAGCAGCAAAGATACCCAGTTATCATATATTAAGACTGATGATGATGATATTAAGACTGATGATGATATTAAGACTGATGATGATATTAAGACTGATGATGATATTAAGACTGATGATGATAGGTTATACATAGTCAGAATCTTAGAGGCAATGTGAACCTCACAGTCCTTTCCTTAGCTGCATAATATGTGCTTTTTCAGGGCTAAATATGATTTTGAATGCAGAGTTGTCCTTTTCCTAAACTGGTTAGCAACCAAGGCTACAGAACTCAGACTATCCATAGTTAGAGGTTTTGAATTCAGGGTTGTCCTTCTCCTAGACTGTTTGCCACCCAAGGCAATAGGATCCAGTCTATGCTTTTATTTATCCAGTGCTGCGGAGAGAAGAGATGGAGTCATACCTTTTCCAAAGAGATTTGCATGTAACAAATTTGACTGGAATTCAAACTCTGCTCTCTCAATTTGAGTCACTAACCACCATACCTCACATTACAACTATTGCTATTTAATTACATAAAATCTAATTTCTATTTATCAAATTGAATTTTGGGATCCCTGAAAAAGGGTGTTGGTGTGAAAAAAAAAAATTCATTTTTAAATTTTAATTTTTGGTCCATGAAATTGCCCAGGGAGCTGATTACTCAAAGCAAATAAAAAAGCTGGGGGGTCATAATAATTTTGGAAGTTGAAAAAATCAGAAAATACAGGGTGTTTCAAAAATTTGATATCCTTTGAGATGTAAATATCACAGAAAGTACATGATTAAGGCAAATGAAATTAAAAAGTATTAATGTTGAAGATCATAAGATTTATTCTTCCAAATCTGAATGAGAAATTCAAAAGCATGTGGATTATGTGAACGATTTTACAAATGTTCAATATGCGCACCGCCTGAGACACGGCATTTTTATACCTGGAAAGAAAAAGATTAAAGATTAAAGAACATAAAAATACAAATAAGAAAAACACAAAAACATAAAGACATAAAAACATAAAACAAACATTAAACATAAAGATGCTAGTAAAATTTGAAGTCATTTGAAGGAGATCTAACAAAGTTATTAGATTGTGAAATGATATCAAATTTTTTGAAACACCCTGTATAATAAATGGATGTAATTATTTAATGGAGTGGGGATTCCAACAAGTTGGGTGTTTTGGAAAATGATAGAAAATAATATAATATAACCTTGAAGAAATAAAATTGTAACCTAGAAAGGGTTACTGAATGAGGCTGGTAATCTTTATAACATCAACAAAATAAAATACTTACCAGCAGCATGAAGTAGGTAAACCATTTCTAGTGGTGGACTACTTAGACAGCATGTTATCACCACTTACAATAGTGTTCAACATATTTATAAGGACTGGGACATATCCATTAGTGTTTATAGGTATGGTATATAACAAAAACTAAAAATAATTCATCCTTTCACACAAGCTCATCAGGTAGGTGACAAGCTGCCACACCTATCTCTCATACCTTCAGTATGTTCTGGAAACATTAAGTTTTCCAAACCCTTTTTCCTCATTATTTGTTGAAGGAATTCCAACTGTCTTTTCCTGATTCTGAGTAGAAGCATTCTTTCTGTTGCCATTTTCTTTAAGACTTCCTTGTTCCTTACTTGCACCATCCATGGAATTTACTAATAATAAATATATGTTTTGTTTCTCAATATTTAGTCTAAATTTGAGTTTTGTACACATAGTAATCATCAGGCATAGATTGAAAACTGAACAATTGCCTTGGGCATGAAACTCAGAGTTGGACCAAACTGAAGAACAAATATATATATATATATATATATATATATATATATATTTTGTATTAGTTTAAATTCTAGCTCTGTTATACATTGAGCACTCTTTTATTAACACTCGCACTCAATGTGTGATTATATATATATAGATATATATGGGCACACCCATTGTCTTTGATATATGAAGGTCAAGCAGTTCAGTTCTTAGAACTGAACAATCAGATTACCTGCACATATGATTTGAATTGTATGCCATGTGATCCCTAAATATCCTTGCTCAGGCTTTTGAATTTGGAGTTGTCCTTCTCTTAGACTGGTTGCTAACCAAGGCTATAGAGAACAGTCAGCCATACTTTTTGATCCATAGCTAAGGGGAGATGGAATCATACCTTCCCTAAGGTATTTGTGCATAAGTGAATTATATGAACCCAACTGGAATTTGAACTCTGCTCTCCAAGTTCTCATTCCAAGCCATCTATCCATTACACCACCTGCACCATCCAATCTTACTCCACCCTCACATACACATATCTGAAACATTTTTGAAAACTTTTATTTTGACAATGTTTGATCAGTGAAACATGTCAAAAGTTGTCCAAACTGTCTTGTATATTAACCATTCCATCAGAATCAAAATTGGTTTAAATAATGCAGTCTATTTTTTGTGTCATTTGCCAATAATTATAAGTAAAATGATGTGCTAAAATAAGTAACCAAAAAATTGTTTTAAGTTCTGATCATTGATATTGTTAATTATTTCTTTTTTGTACACCTATAGAACATATACTTAAAAATGTCTATATTTACATGTATATGTATATAAGATGGACTCACCCATTATCTTTGATGTATGAGGGTCCGGCAGCACAGAAACAAACAATCAGATTACCTGCACATATGATTTGATTATAAGAGTGAAGGCTTATGCAGAACCAACTGCACATTTCAGAAGCACTGAACACAACTGGTGCACATCATGTGCTACTAGAACTCCAAATGGCCCACTTCAGGTTTTAAATTCAAAGTTTTCCGAGACTGGCTGCTGACCAAGGCTAAAGAGACCAGTCTGGCTTATTATTTAACCTATAGCTAGGGGGAGACAAAGAGATGAAATCGTATCATTCTCAAGGGTATTTGCACATAAGTGAATGTAATGAACTCAACTGAAATTTGAAATCCGCTATCCATTACACCACCTTCATCATACATGTATTGTATAATGTATTGTGCTTGTATCCTATTCTTATAGCATTTGTTATCCCAACTAGTTGAAGTATCATGTAAAGTAGCTCATGTAAAATATTAAAAATTTTGAACACATATATGCTGATAGGGATTTTTTAAAATGTAAAAGTAAAGACTAACAAAACAGAGGTTAGAGTAATTTAAACTTTTACAGATGGAGTTGAGTAACTTTGTCTGGGTAAAATAATAAGTGATCCTTTAATAAGAAAAAAGAATGCTCAGGATTGGGGAGAAAAAGAATGCTTAGGATTGGGAAGAAGAAGAATGTTATGGTTAAGGATTGTGAAGAAAGGATGTGAATGTTAAGGATGGGGATTAAATAATGAATGCTATAGTTAAGCATTGGGAAGGAAAAAAAGAATTTAACAGAAAATTTTTTTCTTCCCAATTCCTTAACATTTTTTCTTGTATTAGAAAAAAAAAGGATGTTATGTTTAAGGATTGAGGAGGAAAAAAAGAATGTTATGGTTAAGGACTGAATGGGAAGGTTAAAGAAATGGAAGAAAAAATATGGATTTTAAATGATTGAGAAGAAAAAAATGTGTAAATTAAGGATTGGGAAGAAACAATTTGAAGGTTAAGGATTGGGAAAAAAAAGATTGTTAACAATATGGAAGAAAAAAAGAATTTTACATTCCTTTTTTTTAATTATTTTGGAGTAAAAAAATGCTATGTTTAATTTATGAAAAAGAACCTAATAAAAAAAAAAAAGCAACCACACAGGCTGTTAGGAACAAATTGTATTTTTGAAATACAATATATTTTATAGGGTCAATTGATGGTCACACACTCCTGCAAAAAATGAAAATGAATAAGGCAGTGCCAAATTAGTGTAACACAACCAATACAACACCTTAGAGAACAATGAAAAATACCAGTTCGACAAAAATACTTAATCACATGCGATACTGTGACTAAATTTGATCACCACAAAATGTGGACTTGATGCTATTCCTTCAGAAACATGTTCTTGTTCTCTCTAAGCTCTACAACAAATGTTTTGCTGCTTATTTTCCAACTTGTTGGAAATCTACTTCTGTAATTCCTATTTTGTAACATCTTATGTGAAACATCTGATCCTTTAAAGTAAAATGAATGGTGAAAACAGAATTTATTGCTAAAAAGAATTATATGGGAACTGTTATAATGTTGCCTTTGTTCAAAATGGCTGGGAATTAGGAAGGCTGTAGTTAGAAATAGTGACAAAGGAACATAAGATTAGGTATGGGAAAACAAAGAAGTGGTTTATTAAATACTCATACATAGAATAGAACTAACTTGAATAAACTCAAATCCTACTCTAATGTGGCTACTTGCTATATTTATAAGTAGGAGCAGGAAGTATGCTGAGTCCTACTCTGCAACAGTAAAATTAAAATTTATATTTAAAATGAATTATATAGTAAAAGTAAAATACTACATTTAGTATATTAACTAAAGACTTCATTTTGCTTTAAGCTTAAGCTTAATTAAAGCTAGGTAACAAATGAAATTTTTCTAACAAAAGAATGCTGAGGCAAAATTTTTAGAGAGTTTGAATTTTCAGTGCATCCTCATTTTAACATAACGATTCCCTTTTTCACACTTGTATGTGCCAATTTTTGTCCTTTTTGTTCAAATTTGTGTTAAGTTCTCGGAGGAATTCTTATGGCAATTTTTGATTTACTGATTAATATTCTCTACCAATTCCCTTCTTTTCAGATTGAGAGTCTAAAACAAAAGCTGGAGAAACGAAGAGTAAAAATATCCAAAGTTGCTGAAAGGTAAGAAATCTTCAAAATTATTCTACTTTTTTGTTTTGATGGGATATTTACAAGTCACTTAGTACATCTACTAATGTGACCTTGATTACTAGTGTTGTTCCTACTTCATGTAGACCTTTTATAGTCTCCTTTGTCAGATATATACATAGGGGCAATCTCCCACATACAAATATATCCCTACATCTAGAAACATAGGGATTTTATACTCTTTATGGATTTTGGACTTTTATACATTATTTCATTTTCAGGGTTTCTTTGCATTCCTTTTCTCTTAGAGATCTCGATGTATTTCTTTCTCTCAGAGATCTCAATCTTCTTCATCCTGTATTGGACTCAGTGTATTCTTCTTCCATTGTAATGTCTCTGTCAGATATTTTGGAATCTTTTTTGGCCATCCAGAATCATTTCTTCATTTGTTTCTGTGAGGCCATGTTTCATTGTTTCTGTGCAAGAGCATAATTGGGAGTGTCTATGGAAAGACCTTGTCCTTCTCTCTCTCTCATAATTTTCTCAAGGCCTTATTTGATCTGCATGGACAATTTTTTGCTCCTATTTTTGTTATTATCTTGGGCTTCTTCTATACATTGTTTCATCGTCAGTATTTCTTTGCTTTCCTTCTCTTCCCATCTTGTATGTTTTCATTGGACATTTCGGATTCCTCTTGGTCCTTTTGATCATCTACAACCATTTCTTCATTTCTTTCTTTCTGCAGGGTCATGTTTCATTGTTAGTCTGCAAGATGATAACTGGGAGTGGCTTTGGAAAGATTTTCATCATTCTCTCCCCCACCTCAATTTAATTATTATTTAATCTTAATTAATTTTGATGTTGCTGCTTCAAATTATATTTAAATTATGGTGCTTTCTGGATTCCATATTGTTTTTATACCACACTTTTGTCTTGCTTCACACAAATATTTTGACTCCTGTGTTGAACTAACAACTTCTTTCACACACGTCATTCGCAGACAATACTGTTATGCTGTATCACAGCTCCTCAGTGCAACTAGAAAACCAAATGCCTCAAGCCCAGATCAAAACTCAACTGATTTGGTGTCAGTCAGAGCTATATATATATATATATATATATATATATATCCAAGTATTCTACATTCAACATCATCAATTGATAAGACACTGGATGTGTTGAAACAAAATGGCTATTTTTGTAATGACTTTATAAAATAATTATGTTATAATTTTTAAATAAATAAATATATATATGTATATATAATGTATTGGGGCAGCAGATCATTATTAAACATATATTGTTAAATGCAACAGACAATGTCTATTATGTTTGATCATGAGCCGTTCTAAACTTTGTATATTTGCCATAATTTCAGCTGAAAATAAAGACAAAAATGTCCAACATTTGGATATTTTTTATTAAGCTGTTCCTTGATCCTAACAATGTCACAGTACTGCATCATGAATTTATAACCTGTGTCTGCTATTTCATGACCATTATTGCCGCATACCAATCTTCTATGTCAACAGAATATCATCTTTGATGGTGAATATCTTAAAATCTTTAAATGTATAACCACTCTGAAGATGGCTTATGTGAGCAGAAAGCTTAGATCAAGGACTAGCTTAATAAAAATATATATTAAAGTCCCAATGTAAATAACCTATATTCAATTTTTACATTGTGTTACATATGTTACATGTATTGTTACACATTCACTTTGATATTATGTTATACACACTACACATCAAGTTTTGTCCACTACATGTTATAACACACAGTTACTATTACATTGTGTTACATATATATTTGTTATATAGATATTTATACACACTCTTTTACATTGTGTTATATATAGCATATGATGTTGAAAGAAATTTACTACTGCATTGCGTTATATATGTTACACATTCACATTAATATTATGCTAAGCATAATGCTACACATTGAATGGCTATCATGGAAAATCTATGGAAGGAGTTTAAAATCCAAGCACTTCAGACAGATGTCCATAACTTGAGTAATCTGAAGGTGATTGATCAGCAGAAGGGCAATAAATTTGGATCAGATTTCTGTGAGAAATTTATTTTAAATTAATGGCTGTTTGCTGTCATAACAAATGTGCCTAATACATTTGTGTGTGCATGTGTAGATAAATATATATATATATATATATATGTGTGTGTGTGTGTGTCTGTGCGAATGTGTGCATATATATATATATATATATATATATATATATATATATATACACACACACACGTGTGTGTGCATGTATATATCCATATTTATATATTATATATTGTATATATATGTATGTGTGTACATGTATATATGTATGTATCTAAATATATGTGTGCATGTGTGTATATATATATATATATATGTGTGTGTGTATATGTTTGTCTCTCTCTCTCTATATATATATATATATATCTGTGTGTATATATGTATATGTGTGTGTCTCTCTCTCTCTCTATATATATATATATGTATACACTCACACACACGTGTACATTATATATCACTGCATTATATAAATAAAAATATATATATATAAATATATATATATATGATTGAAATTATTACGAGGATTTGAGATAATTAGAATTAAATAATTCATCAATTCTGGAAGAAACCTCAACAGAATGTAGAATGCACTGGATCGCTGTTTTGTCCTATATATATATATATAAGTGACAATAGGAAAACTGTAGTAGTTGCTGATTTTTTTGTCCAATGTGGACTTTCAAAGTCCACATTGGATGAAATGAGTCGGCAACAGTTTTTCTATGTGCCTGTATGTATATATATATATATTTGTATATATATATATGTATATATATATATATATATATATATATATGTGTGTGTGTATATATATATATATATATATATATATATATATACACACACAAATTTTTAAAAACTTAAGGAGATCAACTGATCATACTATCTTAGTTCCAATCAGATTTAGTCCAGATCACCTGAAGATACCACAATTTTGAAACCAAGGTACTGTGATCACTTCTGATCTCCTAATTTTTTTAAAATTTGAATACACTGCATGTTAAATTTTTATTTTATTTTCTTTATATGTGTATTGATCACTTTTCTAATTTATCTCTTACAAATAACTTTTATAAATACACAAGTATAGGATTGGTATAGACAGAATAAATTCCAATAACCAAAAACACTATCCTTAAAAGAGTGCTCAATATAGAGTAAAGCAAATATTATTAATTGAAAAATTATAACATAAACATGTTATAACATCACTGCAAAAATAACCGATTTGTTTAAACACTTTTGTTGTCTTCTCAAGTGATGGTGTTGAATGTAGAAAGTTTCTACAAAAGAAATTCATAAAAGAAGACCTGCCATGTAAGGTGCAAGATGTAAATTTACTGTTAATGATCTAGCAATTAAAGCACTTTCTATACATTTTCATTTTAGTAAATTGTTTTCTCTTTTAATTAGAGTAATATTTTTTAAATATAAATTTTGGTCAGACTCATTATAGTGAGTAACTAAGGCATTTAGTATATTGTTTTACAAAAGATACTTTTGGGTTCATATAATCTTTTATTTAAATTCCCTGATGTTTCTCCTATGTATTCTTGTGGCAATTATTACAGGTAAAAGAGGAAATTCCTCCTTCAAGTTTTAGCTTATTATCTCGCTTGTCTTTTATTATTTTAGACATAGTTGTGGCATATTTTATGTAGCATTTAGATAAATTCTTTTCAATTGTAGTTGTGATTGGGTTGATGGGTAGAACTATATTTCTTTGATTTGTTGTGCTTGTTGGGAGTGGCCACAGAAGATCGTCTGGTTAGCAAGGTCGATTTTACTGTTTTTAAACTACAATCTTCCATGAATTTCTCACGTACATTCATATGTGCTCAAAGCGTATCCAAATGTAAACAAATGATGTCACACATTAAGGCACGTCAGGCTATATGAGGGTTCTGTATAGGATACAGGTTTGATTCCTGTCAGAGGATGAATATTTTCTATGAAAATTTCTCAGACATTCAGGCCGGTAAATGTTGTTTAATACTGTTTATTATAAACAGAGCATTTACTTAAATATTTGCATTGATAAAAAGAATGTATAAACATAAAAATGTCTTAAAATAATTGTTGGACTTTGTCCATTTCATAATATACAAATTTATATATCCTTTTTCCAAACAAACACATATATGTGTGTGTATTCTTTAATAAAAGAGAAAGCAAATATACCCACTCACAAAGAAAATTACCATAAGATACAAAAACATAATTATAGATAAACACATCTAAATTCATATTTGAGAAGAAGGCTACAGGGTATTCTCCCTTGTTTGAGCTCTTTATTGAAGAAGTTTTTGAAGTTTGCTTTGTATGGAAATCCCTCAAGTTATGTAAATGTTTTCTATCCACTTAATTATGCTCAAATCTACTGAACTAAATAAGATCATATTTATGTTTCTTTTGCAAGAAAATGTACAGATCCTGCTATTTGTATAACAGCTTGAATCAGTGAGCAATATGATAGCCACATGGTGCCGTTTTATTGGAGAAACTGGATAATGTCTCAATCAATACATCAACACATTTATATCCTGACATAAATGCACACCTTTCTTTTTCTCCTTATTCCTTTTGATCCTCATTCTTCTTCTCCTGCTCTTCCACATTTTTCTTTTCTTTCTCCTATTTCTTTTTCTCCTTCTTTTCCTTCTCTCCTCCTCTTTGTTATTCACCTCTTTCTCCTTTGTCTCCACCTCATGCTCCTGCTCACACTTCCTCTGACACCTCTTTTCTTCCTCATTTTTATGATCAGGTTTTTTATGTGAAAATAGTGGGGGAGGGTGGCGCACTATACAGAAGTAATTTTATTGTAGAGGTTAAAAATTAGACATGAACAAAAATAAAAATATGTTACCTAAATTGTTATATCTGATATTTTATGGTAAGTTGTTCTTTTCAACATTTTAGAATAGCTTTATGCAAAAATGAATGAAGACCATTTATTTTGT